GTCAGGGGGACTTTCTCCCCAGCTAGACCAAGCAAGCCCCTCAATATCAGGAGGGCCTCTTTCTTATTTCCTTTGGTTTTTTAAAAGAATTATTTTATTTAACTTTTATTTATTTATTATTATTATTATTATTATTATTATTTTCCAGTTTGATGAGAGAGAGAGTTAGAAAGCAAGCCTTCGAGGTCCAGGACTTGAACCATGGTCAGCCATGGGGAGTCCAGCACCTTTAACCACCATGCCACCTGCCGGCCTCCCTCTTCCTTATTTCTGCTTCTCACATGGGCCTGGCATGGAGTAGGTGTCACCGCCTAAGAGAGACTTTGGTGGCCATATCATCCCCGCAGCCAGTAGGGCCAGCAGCCGCTTCTCGCATCTTTACAGGGCACTGGGCACCGTGAACTAATAAAATGCATGGATGAGTTAATTAATTCAATAAGTGATTCGCTTGAGGATGGTAGCCGAAGATTACGGCAACCGGAGAAACAAGGCCCGTGCGGGCTGTCGTGGAGGGAAGGGACTTCCCTGGGGTGTGAGCTACAGGGTGTGAGGCTGCAGCGCTGAGGCCCAGAGGAGGGGACCTGGACCGACCGTGCTGTCCCTGCCTCTGACGGAGGTCGTGTGCGGGCCTGACTCACAAGTCACTTCCACGTTCAGGAGTGGCTTCTGCCTGTGGGCCCTGCCCTCTGCCCAATATCACTCTGCGTCTGAGTCCGCGCTAAGGTCTGGATCAAAGTCTCTCGATTTCTGCCTCCCCTGATGAGCAGCAGCGCTCGCGCCGAGCAGGTTAATGAAATCAACAGCACACACGGTCCCCCCTCGCCCTCCGCCAGACGGATGAATGCGCTCCTCCGCGGAGGGCGAGCTGGCTCTGCCGTGACCAGGCTCGCACCAATCCATCCATCAGCCAATTAGCGGTGGCTGAAAGCCACTTATCGGGAGGGCTCTTGCCCTTGTCACTGTCACTGGCTGCAAATAAACATCGACTTTATGCCGACTTTCCATATTTAACCACGTTTAAGTAACTGCTGATCCTTTCATTACATGACATCTGCACTTCGGAGTTGAGAATGAGACGCGCGGAGGAGGGCCCGTGGTCCACCGCCTTCCTGCCATTGGCGCTCAAAGCAGAGGAGCTTCACAGGGAATTCCGTGGACGCGACAGTCTCCCCGACTCCAACACCAGTATCGACAAGGAACAGATCACGACAGTGTAGTTTTATCTTTATTTTAAAGGCCGATGCCTTGTGTAAAAGCTGTAACACATTAATAATGGATGAGACACATAAATGATGTATCACAGTTGAAAAATGCAGTCCTCTGAGGAGCAGGAAAATCTTCCTTTTTCAGCGGGCTTTCGTGGTTTAAAAGCTTAACGCACAAACACTCCTTACCTGATGGTGGAAGATAATGGGGCCCAGACAGCATTAATTAACAAGCACACAGCAAGGGCTCCGACAGCGTGGGGCTCATCCGGGCCTCCAGGTTTTAAAAAATGGGGACCAATTTATCGCTGTGCAAAGAAAACTCTTTTATTTGGAGAGGTTTTTGCTATAGGGTGCGCGCACTCTCCAGAAAGACAGAGACAGAGAGACAGAAAGCGAGAAATCACTCCCCGGGGGGATGGTCATGTCACAATCCCTTCTCCTCCATTCTCCTCTTGGGATCTTGGGCACGCACGCACACGCGCCCGGCATGAGTTTAAGCCACCAGGTCCAGGACTCGAACTGTGGTTGGCTACATGGGAGTCCAGCGACATAACCATTATGCTAACTGCTGGTCTCAAAGAAAACCCTTGAGCAGGATTCTGTGGGCTCAAACCCGAGGTGCCAGTGCTCGGAACGTGAGAAGAGGCGCACCTTCCCAGAGCGCCGACCTCGTCTACTTCCCTTCCGTCCTCGCTGACCTGGAAACATCCCTCTGCACCCCCGCCACACCTCCAGAACACGGCGGGTGCGGGCTCAGTGCGCGTGCACGGATGAAGAACGGACCTGCTCACCGTCCCCGAGAGGCTGCTGTGTGGCAAGCCAGCAAGGCCGGGCCACCACGGACAGCTCACGCTGAGTATGGTGGACATCCCATCGCTCGGGGAAGGATAAGGTGGCAACCGCACGTGGGGGTGTGGCTGCTGGTGCTGGAGAGTGCCGGGCCTGGATCAGAACCCGGTTTGGACTGAACCCAGAGCTCAGCCGCAGTGGCATGGTGCCGTGGGCGACTTTGCAGACTTGCTCTTCGGCCCAGTGAGTGGGCTGAGGGGACATGAGGGATCGGAGTCACTGCCTTGGAAGCCATAGACAGGTCTCTGGCTGTCGTGTGAGGCCGCACCCCCATGCCACTCTGTCCGGAGTCATCCCCGTGTTCCTCCCGTCTGCTACGATAGTGCTGACCTGCACTATCAGTAATAAAGTAGCCGCTGGCCATGTGGCCATTTCTATTTCAGCTAAATTAAATAAATAAAACGTCCCCTTCAGGGGCCCAGCAGATGGCGTGGCAGTTACGTCACTGGACTCCCACATGGCCCACTGCGGTTTGAGTCCTGGACCTGGTGTCTTGAAATTCGTGCCGGGGTGTGTGTGCACATGCCGAGAGCCCGAGAGCGGATGGGGGAGAGGGGACTACAGCGTGGCCAGCACCGGGGTGACCCTCACAGTCCCTCTCACTATCTCTCTCTTCCCCAGCTGGATGCTGGCGGCTAATCCATACCTGTTCTCGGTAGGTGTGCGCCTGGAGGCCAGGCCTTGTGTGGTGTTCATGCTCGTCAGGCCCCAGCAGGGAAAGGGACAGACACAAGGACAGCTTGGGGGGATGAAGGGGCACAGGATGTGAAAAAAGGAAATGGGCCAGGTCCCAGTGCAGGGCCAGGCAGTGGAGCCATGGTAACACTTGGGGCCCTGCAAGGCCGACCCACGCAGGACAGGGCCACCCTGGCTCCTGGAGACCCCAGCGAGTGCCGTGACCCCCCTGACTGAGGCGGGGGGACTGTGGCCTCGGGACCCTGAAGGAGGGCTCCACTCTCTCTTGAAAAAAAACAAACTGGGGTCAGCAGGCGGTGCCGTGGTGACGGCACTGAACCCCCAACATGGTCGCCGCAGTTTGAGCTCCAGATGCCACAGCTTGAAAACCACACCAGGTGCGTGTGCGTGCATGCCCAAAATCCCGGGAGGAGAACAGAGGAGGGGGGAATTCCCCCGGGGGCGATTCCTCACTTTCTCTCTCTCCAGAGAAACAGTGAGACTGGGACTGAGATCGTTTTGTTTTGTCTTAGGTTAGTTTATCTCTCGCCAGAGGGACAGAGAGCCATGCACCCAATGGTAAAAACCATCAAAAAATGATCAGTTCGGCCAAATGGTCATCTCTATCCTCCTGGTTTTGACCACATTTCCCATCAAGTTTCTTGCTATATCTCAGCGTGACTGTCAGTGTCGTGTGACATGAGCCGCGAGCAAGCTCAGTGGGAGCCACTTTCCCTCCCTGGCACTAGCTGCTCCGTTGCGGAGATCACGTGACCAGCCCAGAAACTGCACCAAGATTGTTTTACTTTGTCTGAAGTTTATTTCCCCCATGAACGAGCGATGGACAGCCAGAGACAGGAGCTCCCAATAGGGCCTTCATACCAGTCCCAGCCAGTGCAGGTCACAGGCCCAGCGCACATACGTGTGCACATACGTGTGCCTCCAATGTGCCCAGGGAGGTCCCAGGACAGGAACCGAGACCCTTCCCATGTGGATCCAGTTCTGTTACAGCTGCGCCACTGCCTGGCCCCGAGACAGTTTGTAGTAACCAGGACATAGCCTTATTTTTCCCCCGAGTTAGTAAGCTCAAGAAGTAACTAGCTTAAAAAAACTTTGGTTCTTGAAATTCGTTTTTGTTTTCATTTTTCCAGAGGGCATGTGCACTTGCCGGAAAAGTGGGGGCGGTGAGAAAGCACTCCCTGTGGGGGGTGGTCACACACCATCCCTTCTCCATTTCTCCCTCCTTTCAGGATTTGGGGTACGCACTCACACACGCCCTGCACTTCTCAAGTCACAAGATCTGGAACTCAGACCACACAGCCAATCCCATAGGGTCCTGCGGCCTCAATCACCGCACCTCTGACTGGCTCAATTCTTAGATTCTTAAAATCCAGTATGTGATTATTAAATATAGGTGTGATTATAATTCCACTGGATTATAGGGCGAAGGGAAATTCTCAAGAGGGTTTTATACCAGTAATTGGAAGGTGCTTTAGGGATACCAGGGATGGCCAATATGCCAAGACCAGACTGACTCTCCATTGCCTTGTCATGAGCAGACATCACTAATCGATCTTAGTCCTCATCCCCCCCAGTTCTAATCTTAGGCCAGTCTCCTGTGTGGGAGCCACCCTCCAGCCACCCTGGTATGCTTTCTCTCTCTTCATGCCAAGATTATTTCTGTCCTGAGATCTTTGCATTGTCTCCCCTGCCTTAGAAGTCCTTTCCAGGTCTTCAACCTAACTGCCATCTTCTCAGCATTCATCTCTTTGGCAAACTGTCTCCTTATCTAAATATTCTTCCACGCCTAGACATTTCGGATCACTACCTGAAAATGTGTTGATTCCGTATTTTGTTTATGATCTGTCTTTCTGCTGTAGAATTCGGGCTCCTCGTCAGTGGAGCCCATGTGTCCGGCTAACTACACGCTAAAAGGACAAACAACTCCAGCCCTCCGGAACAAAGTCAGCCGCAATGCAGTCACGGTCACTGTCGCGGCCAGGTGGACGAGGCAGCGCACGTTTAACGCGGCCAGCGCACGCCACGCACAAGGTTAGGTGTTTTAAACACAGCCTCTCAAGTGTTCTTCACAGTAATCCTGAGAGGCAGAGCTCATACACAGTGTTAGCTGTGGCTTTGGCCGTGGGTGAGATTTGGATGCCCAGAGCCACCAGGGGCCTCAGCGAGAAGTGACGAAACCAGGTCCCTGTTGTGATCCCTAGTGCAATGACTTGTGTGGCCTGCTCTCTGGCCTCTGACCCCTGGCCCCATCTTTCTGCAAGTCTCCAGATCACCCCGAGCCTGAGGCAATAGTACCAGGACCGTGGAACCTTGGCTTTCCTCATATTTTAAATAGAGCTGTTTGTGTAATTAAAAAAAAAAATAAATAACAAGATCTCTTATAAACCCCGTTTTACATTTGAAACATTAAGATCAGAGAGAAGAACCTCAGCCAGGTGGAAATGGGGAAGGGAGAATCTAGGACCTGAGCTCCCAGCCTCCTCCTTGAGGCCTGCTTGCCTCGTCCCACCCTGCCCTTTCATCTGCTCGTCAACTCGCAAGAGCCACACAACAAAGCCTGGGAGACAAAGCAGTTGCCCAGTGTCTCATGGCTGGCTGGAATGTGTGGGTGAAGTGTTTGAACTCAGGTCTGCAGACTCAAGTCTTCGGCTGCACGTCGGAGTGCTTTGCGGCTGCTCTGCTTGGGCTCTTGCTGGGACTGGCGTTAAGAGAGACTTGTCGACCTCAGTTCTTTCCCTGGCCCAGTGACACTCGTAGACCAGGCCTGGCACAGGACTCAGTCGCCATTTGCTGGATGAACGAACATGTGCCCGCTACTTGCCTCACATCTTTCGGTCGCAGTGTCCGTGGTACGATGTTATGGCGGAGACGTTTCTCCCTAAAGCGCATTGGACAGTCAAGTGAAAGTCCATTGACCACGCTCTATTTTAGAGAGATTTCAACCCCTGAGTGGATGACAGTGGAGATCGGGACAGGAAATCAGGTATGCAAATGCCTTCGAAGGCTGCCGGAGAGCTCTTCATTCCGGGGATTTATTAGCAATTCATACCTGCTTTCTCTCATGCGCCCTGTTGTACATTTCTGCTGCGTTTAAGTTGAATGCTCCATCCAGACAATTTGCAGTACAGACATAACAGTCAAATGAAAGCCAGTGAAGAAGCAGTTTTTTGTTTTGTTTTGTTTTTTTAATAGTGAAGCTTAAGTGGCTGGGCAAATTAAGCCCAGGCAGCCAGAGCAGCGACAAGTTGTCTGTGTGCAAATAGACCCTTGTACCACTGGTGGAAGCCAGGGCGCCATGGAGGCATTTCAGGTAACTCGTTCAAACCTTCCAAAAGGGTAAGCCAGAGGCAAGATTAGATGGGACTCATCCTTTATCCAGCACGGAGAACACAGGCAGCTGCAGGGGCTGCTGAGGAAGAAACAGGCTTGGTTTCCAGAAAGGCCTGCTTCCTGACAGTACCGAGGGCCGCTTCCCATGGGACCATGAGGCCCTGCTCTTTACTCAGGGCACCCATACCTCGTGGCAGGTTTGCACCAGAGAAAGAGCGCCAGGCTCCCCCTACAGAAAGAAGTGCTTTGGAGTGGGTGCTGGTCTTGCTTGGCTGGCATCACCTCCTTCCCTTCCTCAGATTGTACCTTCCTCATTCTCTCTGATGGGCTTTCTCTCGCTCATTCTCAGTTTAGATTTTAGGTGAAGATGACTCCTTGTCTGGTTCTAGGGAAAAACCATGCCAGACCGTATGGCCTAATAGCCTTGTGGCCAGAGTCACATGACTCAGACTAGCCAATCAATGCCAGGATGGAGCTTCTGGCATAGTCATGAGTGAAAGGGGAGGTCCACGTGAGGACAGAGCCAGAAAAGTTAGACGAAGCCAAAGAAGAGGGAGAAGACAACCAAAGAGCTGGCCTCGCCACGCCTGGATGAGTGTTACCACTGGAGCTTGCATTAGATGAGCCAATAAATGGCCTTGCTTTGCTGAAGTGCATTTAATTTAAGGGTTCTATTATTATTTATACATACTACTCAAATCCTTTCTTGATAGTTGTTTTATACTTTCCAAATATTTGATATTGAAAAATCAACGTCTGGCGAGCCTCTGTCTTACAATGCCTTGGTAAACACATCGATACAGAGTAAAGAAGAACCTTGGGAACAGAATTGGAGCAGCAGAGGGCCTCCGAGGCCATCAAACCCACCATCTTTACCAACACGCTCATTCGTACTTTGCATTGTGGGATAAGGGCTGTGAACTGTCAGTCCCTTTTGACCCTATACTATGACTCTGGCCTAAAAAAATCATCCCAACCACTGAAAAGGCTGAATATTCACATATATATTCAAGAGCATTATGGAATACTCAAATATGTTTATTGTAGCATTACTGAGAAAAACAGGGCATCAGAAAAATCCTAAGTGTCCGATACTATGAAAACAGTTGGATAAATTTTACCACCAAAATGTTATATAATTATCAAAATTATGTTTACTAAATTTTCAATAACATCTCTACACCATAATGGTAACTGAAAAAAGCCAGGAAAAAAATGCATGTATGGTGATATCACACTATGGTAGAAAAAGAAAAAAATCACGACTAGGAAAAGAATCGAAAGCAGTTATCTTCAAATGCCAACACTGGTTATCGTCAAGTGGGGGGACGATAGAAGATTTTCTCTTCTTCTTTCTACTTACTCACGGAGCCTGCTTCTCTGTAGTAACCAGGAATGTTTTCAGAGAAGAAAGTGTGTAATTAAACAGTTCTAATAATTCTCTGCCGGCTCTGACAGAAGTCAGCCAGCCTTGACGGGATATGTCCAGGTTGACTCCTTCAGACTGTGCCGGTGGAACAGCCATGAAGCCCTCACATGGCAGGGCTATGTCATGGATCTCTCACCCACTGTAGGAGCTCAAATGGGAACGGATTTACGTTGTTACTGTTGATCTCTTTTATCTCTATGAGGCCAAAGCCTCAAATGTGCCTTCCCAGAAATGATGCTTTCAGGTACTTCTGTTCTCTAGGGGCCCAATGGATGTCCTCTAGACAGAAGCAAGAGTCCAGGTTCCAGAGAGCTCACCATTCTTGAATAGACCAGTAGACGGCTCTGAAGGGAGCCCAGAGTTTGTTCTTTCCCTTGTCAAAAAAAGAATCACTTCAGAAAGATCAACAGAGCAGGCCAAAGAAAGAGAAGCTAAGGGGCAGGTTGAGTCAAAGGACGTGGCCATGTCTGGTGTTAGTTGAGCTGGGCACGAAAGATGGCCCTAGAAGCAGGAACCTGGGGAAACAGTTCCCTCAAAATGCCGAACTTGCTATCACACTGAGCCCATCGGAAGCCATTTAGGCTGCCATTTTGTTTCTTGACCAATGAAATGAGGCATGTTCTGGGCCCCAGTGCTAGAACTAGACAGTGAATAGAGATGAAAATGTTGATTCCTGTGGAATTATCTAGGCAAGGCCTGCACTCTAGAAAGACCATGACGTGAATATGTGTTCCAGAGAAGACCGGTCACTGGGGAGGCTTTGTTTCCTTATAGTCTCAACTGTCCTTGGGACCAAATGGAAAACCGCACATTCTCTACAGAACTGTGAAGACAGCAGAGACCTCCCTGAGCTTCAAAGGCTCCTTCCTGAACATTTTCTTGTCTCTCTTTCATCAAAAGCGGATATTAAGAGGGACTGCGACACCGGTCACATCAGCCTCACAATGACTTTCCTACATGGCTATCCCCCCAACACACTGAGAACCTGACGTGTCAGCAGTGGGCAGAGCAGCTGATTCCACACCAGAAAAGGGGACACTAATCCTGCCCCATGTAGCAGCCAACGCGCAGGACTGTACACGCACCTAATCCTCGTAATTTTTTTTTGACGCTCTGAAATAGGTTCTACTAACTGTCTTTTCACCATTCAACACAGGAAGAAATTGAGATCTAGAGGGTTTAAGCAAAACGCCTGTGATCACATAGTTAGAAACAACTAAGGCGATTAAAACCTGAGGCAATCTGATCCCAAAGTCCGCACCCTAACTATAATACTCCGCTCTCCTGAAGTGTGAAACGTGAGCACACTTCCTTTACTGGGTTCTAGAAGAACAGTTTAAAATGAAGCCCCAAGTTCCAAGGGAAACACAGCATGCAAAGACTGTCCCCACAGCACCCTCTCACCATCCTCTATTCAAACTTCCATTTCCGGTCCAATTTCTCCACGAGCAATGAAAGGCATCTGACCCTGGCTAAGGACTGTCAGATCCCAGGAGACTTGTTTGGAGACAGGGAGAGTCTGGGACCTCACTTCATCGGCAGCCACTCAGGCTACCTTCACAGGGAGCCCTGGGAAGGGCCACAAGACCAGAGGGGTCCGCAGTGGTGGGGTTGGGAGAGGGTAGGAAAAGGTGAGGAGAGACCATCCGTACCCCCTGAGGTCAGCACCTAGGCAGGTGAGCCTTCCAGGAGGCACTTTGCAGATTTCCATCTCCAATTTCTACCCTGGTAGCTTGTCCTTTATGACCTAAGGAAACCAGGGAGTTGGGGAAAGAGGGGAGCAAGGTGTATAGCCCTCTCTCCTGCAGGGCAGGTCTAGTGTACCCTGGATGTGAATGGAGGACTTGGGCCTCTACACAGCCTCCTCTGGCAGCTCTCTCGGCACCTCTGCTCCTAAAACAGGAGAAAGACAGTGAGGGCTGAGGTCCCAGGGCAAGTAGAGCAGCCTCCTCTGTAAGAGAGAGAAGTTAGGTGAAGGGAACTGCACCAGGGAGCACCCCAGGAAGGAGACGGGGGAGAGGCAGGGCTCACAGCACAACCGCTATCCCTCCTAAATGCTCTGAAGGTGCATTTACAGAAGAGGGGTGCAATTCTGGGATGCCAGAAAGCAGAGCAAGTCTCCAAAGTGTTAAGCATCCTCTCCCAGTGCAGCTTCTCAGAAAGGGTATTATGTAAACATTCACCCATTAGAGGAAAAATGTACCCTCTCTGCACCCTCTCTGCCATTAACGACACGGCAGCCCTATTAAAATACAAGTCTGATTTGTGTTTAATGATCTTGAAAGGAAAGTAATTGCTCGAGTATTACCATCCAAGTGTTCTTAGAAGTGCAGGCAATATTTACAGTCAGATCGTCCTTTCCACGCAGCAGGCAGGCAGCATCCCAACTATTAGATTAGGAGCTGGGCCTGGGAAGGAGTGACCTCACCGATTG